ATTTCTGGTAGCAAAATTTCTGGTAAAAAATTTATTCACAGAAAAAAAAAACATCCCTGTAAAACTAATAAATTATTTCTGGTAAAAAATTTATTCACAGAAAAAAAAAACATCCCTGTAAAACTAATAAATTTCTTGGTAAAAAATTTATTCACAGAAAAAAAAAACATCCCTGTAAAACTAATAAATTTCTTCTGCTCAGAATTCAAAATATCGGATGACAAATAATCTGATAAAATTTGTATTACCCGATTATGCAATCCTGTTTTAAACCTATTGCAGCAGTTAGGAAATTATAAAGCATGATATGTGATAGATTACAAACACATACATAGTATATCTGGTAATATAAATTTGATTGAATTTCAAGTCATTTTTTAAATTTTTTAGTGTATAGTTCTGAATTTTTAGGGTGGAAAAGTATATATTTATGATGTTTTCGAGCATAAAATTCCTAATCTTAATAATAATATTTTAATTTTTGACTCGATAATCAGAAAAAGAAAAAAAATACATATTTTAGTGAACAATTTTCCGTACAGTGTAATTCATATACCTATAATATTCAGTCGAGGGTATTTGAAAATGTTTATTTTATATGATAAAATTTAACGTAAATAAAGAGTAGATAAATTTAAATTAAAAATATATATATCATATTGCTATATTATTAACGACAGAGAAATTAGATTAATTTTATCAATAATATAGTTTAGTAACCGCGGCCATATAATTTCTATTATATTGATTTTACTGTATTTTATTTATTTTATTATGCGCAATATGATATAATATGATTAAGGGGATAACATATCATTAAACCTTTCGGATTTTGGACATTAATGCGTGAGTTTAATATATTATTTTTAACTATTTTAGCGCTGTTACTATCTAAATTTGTAGTTTCAAATAAAATCCGCACAGATGATATAATCGTATATTCCCACAGGAGATTTAAACAAAATGTGCCTAATTTTTGCTCATTTGCATGCCGTTTGGGGATTTGTTTTAAAATTAAAGCCAAAATACAAATAATAATTATATGGGTTGGTACATAACGGATTTGACCGCTTGCCAAACTTCCAAACTTACAGAGGAGAGCGGGGCACAGTGGTTAATGATACACTAAATTTTCAAATAGACATATAATTTCATTCAATTTGACTGACATCTCAATTTTATTTACTGTGCTTTATTCTAAATTTAGTGCACATTCAAGTAAAACTTTCAATTCCAAAAAAAGGAAACAACAAAACGTATTTTGTTATTTAGAATTAAATATAGGTAACATTAGACAACTTCTAAGCCTTTGTTTTAATTATGTGTTTAATTATTATAATAATGACTAATGATAATTACTGAAATATAAAATCAATAAACACTTAGATTCACATGTCTTTTTTTAAACGTATAAGATAGTTGCCTTGGAGTCTTTCTTATTTTGATTATTGTGAACATTATAATATTGAATTCCGCCTAACACAAATATGCAGTACTATCAGCTATTTTTTTCTAATTTAATTGTAGTCGAAAATTGTATCATTTTTTCATAAATTATTTATTCTAGCCATCAATTGATTAAAACAGAAATCAAAATAATCGATTTAAACTTTTTTTTTTAAATTTGTGTGAATATTGGTCGTTTATAATATATGTTTAAATAAACGAATTTTTAACGATTAAGAATATACTTAAGATTTATCTTTTTCGATTTTTCAAATTAAATTGAATTTAAAGACCGATTAAAGTATTTTAATGAAAGTTTTCAAGTCTCCGGCATGAGAAAACTTCAACGGTTATTGCCAATACAATGGTAATTTTGACCTTCCCGCCGCATTTAAACTCTGTGACTGCCGACTCCCTTGCGGGGTCTTTATAACTTGCCAAATTAAATTCAGAATAGATGGTTATTTTAGTGTAGAACAATGCAATTTCTCATTATGCATTTCGATTTATAGTACTTATATAATTATACTAAATTCGTGTTTTATTATAAATGTATAATAATTAATGCAATCCTAGGATATGACACGAATTACCAAAGTTAGGTTATTAATATTTTTAAGTATAAATATTAAATATACGTTCTTAGTTTTGAAAGTTAAATTATTTCTTTCTACGAATATTTATCAATAACAGTTTGGTTATTTAAACATAAATATGAATAATTACCAACTTATTGATAACAAAAAAAAAATTGATTTTAATACATTTATCATAAACTATTGGCGAGTACTAGACGTGGTTTGTGTGATTAATTTAACTTATTGTACTTAAATTATTAATTTATAATTTGTTAACCATCATAAGTTGTTAACAAAAAAAATAATGATTTACCTATTATTAAAAAAAAATATGTGAATTTGCGATTTGAAAATATTTACCTATAGAGGATCTATCTAATTATTTATCGGAGACGACTGAGATAACTTATTTCCCACTTATTCGTGACACGTGTTTGTTATGGAATACTTTGAAAATTATGAATATTCAACTTATTTCTAATACTTATCATAAGTTCAAACGTCTTTTTTGAACCTTAAAACTTAGTATAAGTATATAACGTTGTAGTTTGGATGACGTAAAAATGAGTTACTAAACTACGTAATTTTAATAATTGTTATATATATGAAATAAAATAAATCAGTATAGTATTGGTGAACTGTTTTAAACTTATATAATAATACAATAGAAGTTTTATTTTACTATGATTCTCCATAATATATCGAGCGATTTAAAAAAAAAAAAAAAATCCAAGCACGAACATTTTAACACCTATTATATCAACGCCTTATTATGACTGTGAAATATTGGGAGATTATTGTTGTTAAATATTATGTTTTTACTGTTTATTCTCGAGTTAAAAAAACTGTATAATAGTTTAAAGTCATTTGGAGTCTGTGAAATGTACAAATAACACGTTGTGTACGCATTAGAGTATATGTGTGCATTAGTGTATTGCTTCTCTTTATTACTATAGTGTTTTCTTGATTGTTTGTTAGCAGTTTTCCAGATATAATTAATAATATATCTATATCACCCATTGTGCTTACTCCGTTTTTAATATCAAATATTTTTCTTATTTTCTGAAATTGTTCATTTAAAGTCAATAAATCACCTTTTCTCATTTTGGTATACTGTTTTTCAAAAAAAGATAAGCAGTAGTTATTCCGAAAGTCGATTTGTTGGGGAAATATTGAGTATTTCAATTTCTTTGTTTCTCTGAATTCACCATTAGTAATACAAGTAATAAACTTACGAATATATTAAAAAGTTACTGGGTATACTTTATTAATAATTATGTTTATTTTTTAAATTTTGAGCGAAAGTATTGGTTTTAATATAAATTTTTTGTATCTGTAAACAATTTTTCTACCAAACATTTTGCTTCAATCTGAAAGTGTATTAGAACTTTCTTTTAGCAATTTTAATCTAGGTGGTCAATTGAGGTAGATAGTTTTTTTTTGTAATTTTATAATTAATGGGAAAAATCATCAAATTATTATGTAATTTATGATGATTTCTGGGTTATTTTGGCAAAAGAGAAAACTACAACTATTCTGTTTATATAGAATTGTTTTTCATTAGTAATGATTTATCGTTACGTGCAGACATAAATTAAAATACTTTGTATAGCCCCCTTTCCGACTACCTTATAAAACAGTGGCAAATACATCAGCAGTACTATTTTTAATTTTAAAGGAAATACTGCATTTTGCTTTCGTAAAAATGTATATTTAAAAAAAAAGAAAACAACTCAATTTAATAGTATATTTTATGTTGATAGTTGACATAAAAAGCCGTTTCTTATATAGGATTATTTTACTAGGCGAATGCGTTGGAGCCTTCCCGATATTGGTCGATTTTTTTGGCTGATACAATGGTTAAAACCAAATATTTTTATAATGACGGTTTTATGAATTTTCGCCATTTGATAAGAACAATATTGTTGTAATTCAACAATATGGCGGGAGCCTAATTATATAAAATTGATTCACACGTGTAAGTTAACTATAAATTTGATTACCTTTCTTCTTCAGGCGGCAAATTGATCTGTTGAATTTGATAAAGGTGACCGAAGTAAATAAAAAGATTTTAATGTANTTACACTCGCTTGTGATCATCTGTCCAAAAGCAACGGGAACAATACATACACTGTGTGTGATTAGAAGTGGCCGGCCTCCTTATAACTGGAGATCTATGTGTGTGTGCGTGTGTAAATGTGTAATCTTAATCTGGTTAATACTAGCAACTTAATCTAATACTGAATGGCTATAAATTATTATAATTATTTTACAACATTGATTATACATTTTATTTTAACTATATATGATAGCATATCCTTACGATGAGTAGATATCGCATTAAAATATATGTTATTTGATAAAAAAAAATATGGAATTGAATATATATGTTTAATTTTCGTTCCTGTTATTAATTGTTTGATTTATTTCTTACATTACATAATGTTTTATTTTACATTATGTATGATAGCTTAAATAGCATATCATTACAATATTATGTTACTTTAACTTCTTTTTTCGAAAAATAGCCCACACATCATCACCTCATCGTCATTATAATGATCATAATATCATCATAATAATAATAATTATAGCAAATTATAAATACAATTTTATCGTAATTATTTAAAAATAAAATAACAATTGAAGAAAAAATAATGTCTACTTCAGAAGGAATCGTTTGTAATCATCGTTCAAAACTATTTATTATTTGTATTGTCATATAATTTGAAAAAATATTCCTTAACTGAAATAATTTCAGCATAATTAAAAATCGGCATATACTAAGCACCCTCCCTTTCTGACAAATATCTTGGCTGCGTCTAAGTTACTTCTTTATCCGAAAAAGCAGTGTTTGGAAAGAACTTCGTTCACACGTTCTCATTCATATTCAGTGAACAGGAAGTGCGATCACTGGATTATTTCTTTCCCCACCCATCTTCATGTATTAATCATTGTAGCACAAATTCTTATTGTGCCCTTGGGTATAGATTGTATATTTCTTATGAAAAATAAATTTATATATATATTTAGAGAACGCCAGTCGTTTTTATTCAAAATAGAACGTGGGATACGTAGAATATGTTTGTATTTTAATGAATTTAAACGATGTTTAAGGCGTTCAAATTTATTTACCTTTTAATAAATATGATATGTATAATTTAGAATATTATTATACAATAACGTTTTTCTATTACAATTCTTATTATACATATATTTTTTATTAAAATTGTAATTATATAATATATGGAATTTTAGCGGATACTGCTTGACATAATATCATAATATCTATAAAACATATCCGATATCGAAATGAAAAGGCATCCGTAAAATTCGTGATTCATAAATATTAAAAGGAATGACTTAACGAACGCGTTAATTTTTTCAAATAACATGAAAAAAAAATCACATTTACTGACATTGACATTTGACAAAAAAAGACGTCCTAGGCTAATGAGGACGGGTTCAACCACTGTTATAGGTAATTTAATGTATATCTGTCAGCAAAGATTAATAATTGCTAACGAAAAAACGATTCTGAGCACAGTTCAGTTGATAGTCTTGCTTTTTTAACAATATACATGCTATGTTATGGTAAAATAATTAAATATGTATTATATTTTATCTTTAATAATATTTGTTTAATGTACCGATTTTCCCATGTTTCTTCTTGGTTTTTGACATTTGCTGGGAAAACCTCCGAGAAAATCGAAAAATGACACCTTTAAAGTATCTACCCGGTCAAATTTCCTTTCAGAAATATCGATATTACAATAAATTGGAGCAAAATCGCCGGTAAAATAGTTGTGCACAGAAAAAAAAAAATTATCTTTGTAAAACTGTAAGCTTCCTAGCTCCACCTAGAGTCTAGAACGAACGTGAACGTGAACGAATTAAATGCGTCGGTGAACGTTCCGCGGAGCACCGCGAAAAGGCAGTAGGAACTGTTTTTTTTTTTTCATTTTCTCGTTTCAAGAGCGAACAGATAATATATTATCAACATCCTCGCCGTTCGGAACACAATATTAAGCGTATAACACAATAAAACATAATCGGTTGTATTCCAATTCGATTTCTAAACGTTTAAAACCGTACGTCCGCGTATTTTTGGAGGACTTGTTTGAAACGTGTTCGGGACGCGCCCGCGACACCCGGTAGTCTACACAAAAGGCCGGCGCGCGTGCATCCCGTGTGGCCGCTGTTGTTTATTCGTTTTGGCTTTATTTATAACGCGGTGCGTTATATCGGCCGCGGGACGGATATTGAGTATAGACGGTGCCAGACTCGCCGGCGGTAAAGGTCGCGCATTTGTTAAACCGTATAGACACCGCGGCGCATAGATCCATAATACGGTCACCGCGCGATGGATGAGGTAGCCGTACGCACAGTGACAAATACGGTTGACGTCGAGCCCCGGATTAATGAAAACCCATTGAGCTTAGTTGATTGCTTCCTCTCCGCGCGCGAGCGAGCGTTTTGTCGTTAGGGCCTTGACACGTTATATTAGTCAAACGGATCGGCCGATTTCCAATTTCAGATTAAAACCGATCGAACCGCTCGCTGGCGGACGCGCACGTGATTTATAAACATTTTTTTTTTTTTTTTTTTTTTTTTTTTTTTAATAAAGAACATCGGGGGTGGTTTTTTTTTTTCGCTGCGAACGCTGCAACGACCGCGCCAATAATTCAGCGCGTCCGTGATCCGCGACACGAGTACATTATTATCTCGCGCGCACCGCACGGGGTTTCCACCGTAAAAAACCGGCCCAGTGTGTACTCGGGCGTGTTTTTGTCTACGGTACATCCGAAAAATTCACCGCCCGGCCGCGTTTGTCGGACGATCGTCGCGCGCGCTACGGCCCCCGGCGATTTTCATTTGTTCGGTTTTTCAACAGGCGCGCCTTGTCCGAGTAGTCGCCAAGCGTTCCGACCGCGTCTCGACGGGTCGACGCGGCCCCGGTTTATTCGGAGTAATACTCGGGGTGTCCCGGATTCCCGACAGTCGCCGGCACAAAGTGTCGGTCGTCAATTTTTAAAGCGCGCGGTGCAATGTGCAGATCGAACCGTAGTGTTACGTTACTCGATTATTTTTATCGCGCGTATTTCTGTTGTCCAATTTGATCTCGTGTTCATATTCACGCGACGAGGATATTTGTTACTATACGGCGAAAGAAAAAGGAAAAAGAATTAAATCACCACATTATTTTACCGCGCTCTAAACTGGCGTTAAATTGTCCGCGATCTACGACGTTTACGGAGTACAAACAAATCGCCGTCACTATCACTATCAATAATGGACGCGGTAGTTGAGATTCCAAGGCCGCGGAAATCGTATCCCGACAACTGCGAACCGAACCGAACCCAAGAGAGATGTATCCAGTTGCACAGTTTGTCAGTCGAGTGGGTCGAGTTTTGTTCCGAGCAACCGTTTTTACGAATAGTTACTCGCACAACACTGTCTCGATACTGACAGGTTTCGCCTTTAATCGCATCCTATATTATTATATTTTTTGAACGACGGCGTTCGTTTTACGCGCGTGAAAATCGAAAAAAAAAAAAACGCTGTCGACGCTCAACAAACATATACACCTACTGTAACTGTATAAACTGCAACGGAAGGAAGACGACGGTGACGTTTTTTTTTTTTGAAAATTTGTTTATGCTGTGGTTGTTTTTACTAAGTAAAACAATTTTAAAAATAATAATAATAATAAAAAAAAAACAAAATAATAATAATAATAATAATGAAAAAATAAGTCGTTCGGAAACGGAATATGTAAACTTAATGAAGAGTTTCCCCTTATTCGGTTCTGTTCGCCTGTCCGCCCCTATCCGCCCGCTCTCCAGCGGGCTTCTTTTGCCCGCCGCATCGTCCTTACCCGACCGCAGGCCCCGGCGATCAAAACAATTGAAACAACTTTTCGTTTTATTTAATCAACACAACTTTGCTGTAGCTATATTATACATATATACACGTATACACGCACCGAAGAGCTCTCCCTCTAAACTTTCGCGAAACAAAACTGTATAGCCGAATACGATCCCGTCGCCGTCATCGGTTTACACACACACACACACACACACACCGCACACATATCCCGCCGCACACGAGGATACACGCGACTGCAAAAAACAGAACTTGTTCTTCTTTTCTCCTTTTATTATTTTCAAGAGTAAACAAAATTGCCGCCGCCGGAGAATAATAATAATAACGAGTGGTGCACCTGCGGGCCCGCACTATTCAGATCACGTGTACCCCTGCCATCCCCCTCGCGTTCGCGCTATAAAACCGGAAAAGATCTTATTTGCGTAGCCGACGCCGGTTTGATTTTATTTTTCATAGTTTTTTTTTTTCTTTTTTTTTTTGTATATTATTATTTGTTCGTGTGCCCGAGCTCTTACCGTCGGGTATTATGTTATAAATTTCGTGTCTATTCTTATGTACAGGTAGTGTTTTATACGCGTGATTAGTGTGACATCATATTATTATGACGTGTTATTTGTCAAATAATAAACGATTGTTGAATTCAGAAAAATAAAAATAGCACCTGCATATAAAAGTAACAGTTGAAATTCTCAAGTTTTACATTTCAAGTACCTACCTATATGTTATACGTTGTTATATATTTTGTTAAGAAATTCAAAACCGTCTTATACGCATCACTGAGTCCTGAGTCTATCCTATAGACAGATTTTAATGCAAATTTCTTTGTATACAATTAAAAGGTATATTTTTGATCTTGAAATTTGTTTAGTTTTAGAAGTCGAACAGAGCGAGGAAGATATTATTTATTTTATATTCAGTTTTATGTGGATACAATTTTTTATTGCAGAGACACTAGATAATTTAATAATAGTTCTTCGTAAATTTTTATTGAGCATAATGTTGTAGTTTTTTCGTAGTATTTTAAATTTTAGTGAAAATCGTAAAAATTACGGAATTTCAAAATATATTTAATGGCGAACTTTTCGCGGAATCGTTTTTCATTATCAAAAATTTACGTTTCGTATAGCTATAAATTATAATATGAATGATTATCCAATCTCCCACCTACAACAGTATCCTGTCCGTAAGCAGTATCAGTTCTTCTGTATATTTTATTAGTATTATTAATTTACTGTAATTTTAAATTATTCTAATAATAATATCATGTTCTGATTTTAATTACAATCTGAACGAAGCGAGTAATTTATTGATTTCGGTATGATGCGGTTTGTTTTTGTGTGTCTTTAAACAACATTTTTTCGTGAAATTTGTCTCCAACTGAACTGAAGAGAAACTTAATTATATTATTGGTGATATTATACTAAGGCTGCCTTTGTATTTTCCTTATAGTTACCTGACAGTTAT